GACTTTGCGACCCAGCTCAAGTCCCCGCCACCGGATTTGCAAATTGAAGCCCAGGATTTCACGAAATGGTTGAAACCAGCCCGTCAGCCGCCACATGGCGAAACTCGAACCCGATGCAGATGCCGGAGTTCGGAAACAGAGTGACCTTCACGGCGAGAAGCGGGGACGAGGTTTCGCCCTCCGAATTCGGTCTGTCGTCGGGAGGAAGTTTGGGCAGCAGAGGGTGGAGCAGTTCGACGTCGCTTGGCAGGTCGGAGATGACACGGTCGAATTGGAGACCGGTCTCGGCGACGGTGAGCGAAACAGAGTCGCCGTCAGAGTAAAATATGCGAGCCCTCTCGTCGGAAAGCGTCGGGGTGACGAGCCGGGCGGCGAGAGGGTAGAAATGAATAAGCGCCAGGGAGAGGGAATCGGCGAGACTGGGGATGGTTGTTTGCCGGAAATGGGAACTGGAATGCGGGAAATCGTAGAAGAAGACTCTCTGAATCGGATGGCAGATTATCCACGATATGTCGAACAGGGTTAGCCAGGGAAGTAGCGGGAACTGAGCCCCGTGGCGGAGAGATTCGCAGCTCGTCGACCGTTACGACGGAGCTGGCATGTTGTTGCGACATTTTTTTGCAGTGGAAGATACAATGCATGATCTGATTTCAGCATTGGAACTTCATATAGGTGGGGAGCAATGGTGGAAGCAGATCAAAGGATCCGGCGGAGATTTAGACGTTCTGTTTGTTTATGTTCGGATCGTAGTGCGTAAAGCTTTCGACATGGATCGTATTGCTAACAGTCAAAAGGATGCTGTTGTTGCCAGGTATCTATGCTGTCCGGATTTAGAGGTGGAATCTGGGAGGCCGTCAATTCATCCCTCAACTTCTTCTGTTCATCATGTCAATTTGTTGGTACTGTTTCGTTTTTTTTTTTTTGTTCTTGACACAAGTTCAAAGGGGGAAAATTACAACGATTGTCGCACGCAAACATCGTTAATTGTGGTGACTTATTGAGGTCGACCTGAGAATCGAACGATCAACCATTTCGTTGAAGAGGCCGACCTTTCGTATTATAGGTATGCATATCTAGTCACCTCAATTTCTCCAAACAAGCATTGCCAAGGCAGAGTGAGGTTTGAACAAGTACTCATCAATCCCCCAACAGTTGAGACGGACCGGAAGCGGAGCGAGCGAGCGAACCTCCGGAAGCCGGACGAGGGATGTTACCGGTGACAACCTCTCCGGGAAGCCAATTGGCGGCCATAGCTGTAAAGATACACCAAACGCAGAAAGGAATTGCACCAGCTGGGGAAAAGGGGTTACACACTGTAACAGTGAGTCAGCGGCTGACACTGAACGCCATGGCAAATAGTCGTATTTGGGCTTTCGGTGGTGTTTGGGCCGGCTCACTACCGATCCATGAAAGGCCTTTTTCTTCCATTACGGGTCCATCTGGCTTTGTTTTCGGCCAGGCATAATAAAGTCAACCCTTTACCGAGAGACAAACTATAATGAAAGTCAACCCTTTGCCTCTTCAACGGATGCCTTGAAAAATCAAAATTTTTAAGTGGTCTGTGCTGATTTGGCTGTGACATGGTGTGTTACCGTTAGTCAACGTGTTTGACCGTCCAAATATATAACGGTCGAACATCGGATTTTGTTCAATATGCCCTATTGATTGGATTGAGATTGTCAATTAGGCCTCCAACTTCTATTAAGCTTAATTACACTTCTACTACTATGTAATGGACATATTGAACAGCTTAATGTTGGTCCGGTGGCGCGCGCCTTCTTTTTCTTTAAAAGGGGGTTTTTGCACCTGCAATTTCACGAAATTGGATATCTGGAATTTGCTAGGGTTCTTTCGAACCTGGTTAGAAGAAAATGGAAAACAAACGTTTTGATCTGAACACTTGACCTAGCACTCTCCACTTCTAGTTTTACCTCACGTGTATAGATACTCAGATGGGCTTTGGCTTAAGGACTAAAGCCCACAATCTTATTTAATTTCGGTTTCCTTACTGGCCCACTCAAACTCGTTCCTGAGCCTGTCTGTTTAATCCTAGCAGCTAAGGCCAACGCTGTCGTTTTCCCTAAACAACTATCAGAGGTTTACTTTGAGACTTAACGGATCACAGCACCTTACTTGGCCAATTTGAGTGATGAACAAAAACAGAGATGTGCAGAAATCTTAGAAACAGAGTAAACAAAGACACAGCCAATTTTTATGTGGTATCCAGTGTTGAGAGAAAAGAGTATCGCAATACTGACTAATCCACGGTCAGTGATTCACTAATCCGTGATCACTGACGTTCCACTAAGGATATGTTCTTGAAGAGCAGAGTACAAAGTACAGAGCTTCCCTGATCAACCTTCTCGGACTGATCAGATTCTAATCGTGATCAACTTCCCGTTGATGACTCAGTCTACCCAGATCAACTCCCTGTCGACCTGCTCGAGCAATCTCCCGATCACTCAACCACTTCTCTATCAATCTGTTTACAGCAACTCTCCTGCTATTTTCACTCGATTGATCTCCGAAAAGTATATCCTCTAATCTAACCTCCTTTGCTTTATACAGATTTCAAAGCTAGCCGTTGCTGCATTCAAGTTTCCGCCTTGCTGTGAAATCTTCAGATTTGGTAACTCCTTGATTTCGAGATTTGGCTTTCCTTCTGCTTGATTTGTCTTTCCATCTTACTCGTTCTCTTCCTTTCTTGCACTGCACGTTCCCTATTGACTGGCTTGATCCCAACAGTCTCCCCCTAAGCCGGTCAATGGCCCTTATCTGATGTTCCTGTTGTTCCTACACACTTAAACACACAGATTACGTGCAGACTGTTCCAGCTTAAAATAAGTCAGACAATAGTCAGTTGAACAGAAGAGGGAGTTTTATTTATTTCATGAGTTAAAGACAAATTGAAGGGAAGTTACACCACCCTGACTCTTGCTCAGCCGACGCTAGGCTATATTGAATGGAAAGACACTGAAACCTCTACTAACGAACTGACTCATGCTCAGCAGAAGCTTAAGCTTTATTGAAGGATAAGACACTGAACTCTAATCAACTGACTGAATCAACTATTAACTCCCCCTGAACCCAGGACCTACCTAGAAGAGGTAAGGTGGTGAGGGTACATAATCAGAGATATCGCCTTCGCTTCCTTCTGGTTCCTCCTGAGGATGGCCACTAGTACTAGCCTCATTGTCATGATTGTAGAATTGACGGATAAACTCTAAAGGATCCAACACAACTTTCTGCTTCCCTTTGCCAGAAATATCCTCAACTAAGTCTGCAAGACTAAGCCCATCTTCTGGAGTAGGAACAACGTCATCAGCATCAACGTTGTCTCCCCTTGGGACATTGACCCGGGGTGCACGACGACCGACAGAAGCATCCACTTTGCGCAGAACAAACTGTGCGCGAAGAGAGTTAAGCATGTCCACACGAGGCAACTTTGAACCTGAGATCAATCCCTAATGCCAACAAAATCTGAGTGATTGAGGTGCAAACGGGAGCTCGGCTTCGAAGTTGTCAGCATGATAGTTCAGCATATGGTCGAACATCAAGTGTGGATAGCTAATAACCCGATTTTCCTTGGCACTAGCAAGGATCCATAAATCCGAAGGATAAATGGTATTGAGGCCAAAAGAGCGAGGTAAGAACAGCCGAGTGTATATAAAATGCAGCACCTTGAGGTCATCAGGAAATCTTCCAGAATGAAATTCCGAAGGATAATAACGTCCTGTATCACGAGTATACAGTCGCAGGGCATCGCCTTCGTTGAACTCAACTGAATGAAAGTCAAGCTCATTCATGACTTCTGCTCCAGAGACAGGGATCCCCAGGAGCAACGAAATCAACTCCACATTCAGAGTAATCAGATAATTATACACTATGGTGGTGAAGCAGGGTGAAGAGACGTGGAGACACGGCTTCATGTTCGCATAGAAACATACGAACAGCTTCTGGTCGAAACCCAAAGTTTCGATTAGGGAGTATGTCTCCCCAGCCTAAGGTATTGATCAGGCGAGGGATATTCATCCCATACCTGTTGAATTTGGATGGATCCAGGGTGATGGAAGGATGGAGAGGGCGATCTTGGTACTGAAGGAGATAGCGAGTATATCCTGCTGCGTCCTCGAATCCTTTCCCATTAAAGATGGCAGCCTGAGCCAGCTTCAAGGGTGCCACATGCTGAAGAGACGCAGCCATTGTTTGTTTTGGGAAGGGTTAAGATATGTTGGGCGGGATGCTAGAGGACTAGAGATCGTCAGCTTATATAGGGGAGGCGAGGTTCACAAGCAGAAGGGACTAAAGTACAGGGAGTCCTTGAATGAACAGCTCACAGTACACAGGAAAGAAATGGAATATACGATCCTAAAGATATGAAGAGATGAGACACGAAGGGAAAGTGAATATCTGCTGTGGGTGTACAAGAAAAAGGCAAGTCTTGGAGCTAAAGAGTAGCGGAAAAGACCCGAGGAAGACTGGTGAATTCAGGAAGGAGAGCATTCAATGCAGATTCTCATCTCGATCCAGGAAAACATTCCTAGTTCTCGACGGATATGGAGAAACGGTTCAGATCCTAAGGGCTTGGTAAAAATGTCGGCCCATTGACTTGTAGAAGGAACGAACTCGAGACTGATTTGACGATCCTCAACTAACTCCCTAATGAAATGATAACGAATGTCTATGTGTTTGGTTCTGGAGTGCTGAACAGGATTTTTGGTCATGTTTATGGCACTAGTGTTGTCACAAAGTACTACTAGAGTTTTTTGACAAACACCATAGTCAAGGAGCTGATGTTTTAGCCATAGCAGCTGTGTACAACACAGACCTGCTGCCACATGCTCAGCTTCTGCTGTAGACAAGGCTACGGAAGCTTGTTTCTTGCTAAACCAAGAAACAAGTGAATTTCCAAGGAACTGACATGTTCCAGTGGTGCTTTTCCTATCAACTATGCACCCAGCAAAATCTGAATCACTGAACCCTGAGAGATTTAGAGAAGATTCACGAGAATACCACAATCCAAGGTCAGGAGTGCAGCTAGATAACGAAAAATCCTTTTGACAGCTGAAAGATGGCTTTCTTTGGGACAATGTTGAAATCTTGCACACATACACACGCTAAACTGAATGTCAGGTCGAACTTGCAGTAAGATACAATAAATACCCGATCATTCCTCTATAAAGTTTTTCACACACAGGTTTGCCAGCCTCATCTTTGTCCAACTTAGCAGAAGAGGACATTGGGGTAATGGCTGTTTTTAGATTACCAAGGTCAAAACGGTTTAGCATGGAATTCAGATATTTTGATTGACACAGAAATGTCCTAAGAGAAGACTGTCTGACTTGAAGCCCAAGAAAGTAGGTTAACTCACCCATGAGACTCATTTCAAAGGTGTTTTTCATGCACGTTTCAAACTCACGACACATTTGTTGACTTGTAGACCCAAACACTATGTCATCTACATAGACTTGCACTAGCAGAATATCTGACTGGTTTGTTTTAACGAACAATGTTTTGTCTACTGAA